GGTATTTTTATCCTTCTTTCCCAGCATGATAGCTTCTGTATTAGCACTAAATGAACTCTTATAATATCACATTTTCTTCATAGTGATCTCCATAATGCTGGTTTCCACAACCATTAGCTAGGGCTTTGTGGAAATCTGTTCTAGTAGGTGCTTAATTAAAGATGTTTGCTGCCATAAAGGCAATAGTCTTTTCTCTCCCGTTAGAGGGATTGATTTGCTTTCCGCCCCATCTGTATCCTCATCTTATTGCGAGCTTATACTGTTTAGGGCTTTCAAGATCTAAACCTGTACTTTCCTTTGCACTTAGAAACGAATGCAAAGCTCTAAACACAAATGTAATCCATTCTTGTTATCTAGATTAGCCAATGAAAAACTTCAGAATGTTTTTCAAAAGCTGTGCCCCAGCCCATATAATACCACAGGGCTATGCTTATGTACACCTTTAGGCAGTGCTTTTTTCTGGGGGGAGGGGCACGTAGGGGGACGCATAACCCTAAACATATATCTGTACAGATATCTGTACATGTATGCCCCCGTGAGTTCCTTTGACGAAAGGCAGGATATAAATGTGATAAACCAACAAGCAAACAAGTAAGTATTTAATATGGTTTAAACAAATTTCAGTTGCAGAGATGGGGTGGGTTCAGAAAACACACATCTTATGATTCAAAGGTCAGCATAAAGAGGTTTTTTATCAGTTTGATTCAAGAGTAGGGGACTTGGTTGCCCACAGAGAACCCCACTGTAGCCGCAGTGAAGGAAACATGGTGGCTCATATAGGACCCCCAAATGGGGCATTATGGGGGCACATCAGGGCCAATCATGGATCTCCTGGGTCCTAGGCTGTTCCCTTTTCCAGAGTAGGAGCCATTCCTGAATCAGGCCCAGTCTTCTTACACCTGTTGCCCTCCTGCTTCCCTCTGGTTGCCAGAAGCTGGCAGTGCTACGGAAATGACAGAGGGTCTCTGCTCTCCTAACCTTGCTTGGAATTGCTCTGTTCATCTATATGTGGAGGCAAGCATGTGTAATGGCTTGATTCTCTCTTCTTTGGGGAAGAGAAAAGGCTTGCTTCTTGGTACTGGTCTCAAATCTTCTTTTTCCATTGCTGTTTACGAAAAACACCCCACTCTTCACTTTATACCTCTTAAATTTTGTTTTATAATTGCTAGGTGCACTGTTTGCCTGTTCAGACCCAGAACCACCACCACCCCCCCAAAAAAAATTCACACATGACTCAAATTTTGGTTTGGTTTTTGGTAGAATTTAGGCCACAACTTTATTGATTACAGAAAGTGATTGGTTGCATAGGCTCTGGTTCGACTAGCTCACTGCCATGCAGGTAGCACCGACCCAGGGTTCCAGCATAGGTCAGCCGAGCATGAACACCTGGATAAGCAGAAAGCCGGGAACGGGCTAACTCTGCCAACCAAATGCCCCCCTGGACTTAGGCACAGGAACAACCCCCTCTCAGAGGTTGACCAAACCACCGAGTCCCTGGATTCCTTTAACGGAATACCCTTCACATAGGGATGGCGAGAGCGTTCTCCCATCCCTATCACATGAACCAGAGCCTATCTGCAACCTTACAAGGTGTGACGATTTGCTATGCGGCAGGTGAAACCCAAATGGCAACAGCCAATCAGCCAAGTGGGGAAAATTCCTGTCCCAATGACAGACGACACACGACGGCATAGCAAGGTCAAGCACAAGCCCTAAAAGTAGGGAGATGTGGGCAGGTGTTCCAAATGCATGCACCGAAAGAGGAAGCTCTGGGTCACGTGCATGGGCATAAATAGGTCCCTCGAATCATTTGGACTGCGTCTCATTGGCCAGATTGCACCCAGCTTTAAGGGACCTACCAATCAGGTGTTGTAGCTGTCCAAACGTACCCACCCACAACACAGGGTGTCAGTTGTCCAGGTCTCACTGCAATACGTGCCCTCTTTAAGGGAGGACCCAATTTAAAACAAGAAAAGGCTCAGAAAGGAAGAGCAATACATAGACAAGAATTCATTAATAAGGAGCTTTGGCTTCACTTTGTTTTCTTGCTGAGACTCAGCAGGAAGTGCTGGAGCTGGCGTGGGAGCCGTCTTCAGCAAAGATGAAGAAAGCCAGTGAAAGGAAAGAAAGAAAGAAAGAAACTTATTGGAAAACGAAAGTGCAAGAAATTCCTTAGAAAGATTCTCCGCCCGAATGTGTGGAAAGTCCATAGATCATGTGGCAGGGCACGTGCCTTGCATGTAGTAGCAGGTCCTAGGTTCAGTCCGGGACATGTCCAGACAGAAGGTCTCTGATCTGAAAGCCAGAAAGCTGCCAGAAGGGCCAATGATCTGACGCTGTGTGAGGCAGTTTCCTTTGTTCCATCTTCAAGGGTGGAATCTAATGTTGCAGAAGCACCAGGATTTCATTTTCCTCTTTGTCTCATGCAAACCTCCCAAATCTGCTTTGGATGATCCTCCAGTCATTTGGAAGCAGGTTTTGAGGGTGTGTGGGAGGCTGAAGCAAAAATGTTCCCCTTTAACCAGGCCTTTGGATGATTGACAACCGATCCCCTTTTAAAATGTGTTGGGGTGGGAAGATTATTGGGTTTGGCTTTGTTAAGTGTTTTGTGATCTTATATTGTGATTTTATGTTGTGAACCATCCTGAGCCCGCAAGGGTGGCATACAAATTTTAATAATAATAATAATTAATAATAATAATAATAATAAATAGTGTTTTTTTCTTTAAAAATGTTTAGGGGTACTCTCATTTTGACTCAAGCAAATCACCATTTTATAGTTCAAATCAGGGAAAATAAACACAGTAAATGGACAAAAGTACAAAGATTCACAAAATGTTTTGGGGTTTGTGTACCATGTTTTGCCCCAGAAAAAAGCACTGATAATAAGACTAATAATAATAATAATAATAATAATAATAATAATAATAAATGCTTAGAGTTCCATTGCACCAGCAGAAGCCTGTTCTGCTCATGCAAAGGACAGTGTTGGGTATAACAAAGGTCTATTGCCCAGAAGCATTTTAACTAATAATACTTTAGAGTCACAGAATCCTAGAATTCTAGAGTTGGAAAGGGGTCCTGAGGGTCATCTATTCCAACCCCTTGCAATGCAGGAATCTCAGCTAAAGAATACATGACATCTGGCCTCTGCTTAAAAACTGCCAAGGAAGGAGAGTCCACCACCTCCCAAGGGAAATAAATGATTTTGTTTCTTTATCAAAACAGGATAGACAATGTTTATTAAAAATATGCATGGGCAGGATTCCCCCAAATAGCTGTTTCAGTGGAAGCTCTGCACAAGGACCTCCATCTGCACAGTGGGGCTTCCCCATGCTCCCCAAGCACCCTGCAACTGGCTCAGGGATGGGGACGGGGGGGTCAGGAGAAACCTCCAGAACAGCGCGTTGAAGGAGAGGAGAGGGGATTGTTCCATCTGGCAAGCTGAAATGATTGTGCAGACAGAATGCTCATCACAGCAGGGGGTTGAATTCCACCCACTGCTCATAAACCCAAGTGAGAATAAATAAACTTAACATTTTTAGTACTGTACTGCCGTATTACCAAACTACTTAATTAGTAGTGTTAATGCATCTGAATGAAAGCATACTGTTTATGACTGATCATCAATCTATTGGTCTTCAGCACATATAGGAGTGCTTTGCAGCCTTTTCTGTGTGGAAATGTCTCACTTGTATCATCAAAGTTTAGTTTTCTTGCACGTTTTGATTCAACAGCCAAGGTTTCCAAATCTGTGAGGTGCTCTTGGTACATTGTGTGACGTGGATGGTGCTGTGGTCTAAACCACTGAGACTTTTGGGCTTGCCGATCAGAAGGTCGGCGGTTCGAATCCGCACGATGGGGTGAGCTCCCATGGCTCTGTCCCAGCTTCTGCCAACCTAGCAGATTGAAAGCACACCAGTGCAAGTAGACAAATAGGTACTGCTGCGGCAGAAGGATAAATGGTGTTTCCGTGCGCTCTGGTCTCCGTCACGGTGTCCCGTTGCGTCAGAAGTGGTTTAGTCATGCTGGCCAAATGACCTGGAAAGCTGTCTGTGGACAAACACTGACTCCCTTGGCCTGAAAGCAAGATGAGTATCACATCCCATAGTTGTTTTTGACTGGACTTAACCGTCCAGGGGTCCTTTACTCCTTTCTTCCTTCCTTCCTTCCTTCCTTCCTTCCTTCCTTCCTTCCTTTCTTTCTTTTACCTAAAGCAGTTTTTGACACAAGCCAGAGTGCTGATGGCCTCTCAGCTTCAGAAGCGGTCACCACAAGGGTGCAAAAGATACACAGCACTACACAAACATTTGAAAATAAGTGAAATTGTAAGTTCATGGCTCTTTAAGAGGTTCAGTGTTTCCAAAGTAATGTCTCCACAGTGAGCCACATGAATTGCTTTCAAATATTGTGCTTCTTCACTCAAGTCCGTAGTGGCATCAGAATGGAACTCTTCAATTAATGTTTGTTCAGTCTGGTTTTCAGTAATCTTCATGTATTTTCCACAGAAACCCAGGTCTCTCATCTAAAAACTTCAGAGCTTCATAATGCTTTTTAGGGCTGGAAATCCCACTGCTCTGTCCCAACTCCTGCCAACATAGCAGTTCAAAAGCATGCCAGTGCAAGTAGATGAATAGGTAAATGGCATTTCCGTGCACTGCTCTGGTTTCGCCAGAAGCGGCTTAGTCATGCTGGCCACAAGACCCGGAAAAAACTGTCTGCGGACAAGCACCGGCTCCCTTGGCCTGCAAAGCAAGATGAGCGCTGCAACCTCAGAGTCGTTTGCAACAGGACTTAACTGTCAGGGGTCCTTTACCTTTTTACATTTTAAATGGAAAACTATTTTAAATAAAGAATTCACTGCAAAGTAGGTCACATGGCCACCTACAGTGTGCTGGTTCATGTGAGAGCAAAGGAACCTGTTCAGCTGGTATCTGTAATTGTGCCTTTAGCAGTGGCTTGATGCGCATGTATCAGCCGTGATAATGCTTATCTGCAGGTCATGCAGTTCCACAAGCTGATTTCTGCATATCAGGTTGCTGTAAAACACAGGATCAGCCCAGTGGGTTTTCTTCTTCTTTGAAAACTTCTAATGTACGGCAATACAGATGAAGCTACACACATAGTTTAGCACTTACTAGATGGGAGAGGTAAAACAACATGCACATAAGGTGAAATTTAAAACACGTTGGGCAGGGAAAGAGTGAAGCCATTGAAATCTTAGTGGGATATTTTTATTTTTTATGTTATTTAGGGCGCCTTAGCTGCTTGCTAAGCCTGTGTGCAAATCTGCCTCTGTGTGTGTATCTGAATGTGGAGAGACAACCCTTCAAATGAAAGGAATTCCAAAACGTTGTTTAGGAGCAACATTTGCATTCTTCTCCCTTCTTTCGGATGAACATATTCTGGTTTTCTTGCCACTTTTTTTTTTAAAAGCATGAATTAGCAGGAAGACAAACAGGGCACAGGTATTCCAGCCAAGCTTGATGGTAGAAAATCTGCTTTGCATGCAGAAGTTCCCAGGTTCAATACCTGCCATCTGCATGTAGGACTGGGAAAATGACCCTGCCCCAAATCATGGAAACCTGTTGGCACTCACAGACCCTCAAGTGTCCCTATTTTGCAGGGACAGTCACAGATTAACAGAAGCCATCCTGGTTTTTTATTTGATCCCAAGTTGTCATGCTTTTCCTTAGGATGTCCCTAAGAAATGTTGGAGGGTGTGGAGTTATGCAACCTCCGAGCCAAGGAGATAAGTAACTATACAAACTTTAGAAGACATCTGAAGGCAGCCTCGTATAGGGAAGTTTTTTATGTTTCATGTGTTATTATGTTTTTATATGTGTTGGAAGCTGCCCAGTCAAATGGGCACGGTAGAATAATGATGATAATAATAATAATATAGAATAGGACATTCCTATTTTCATCAGAGAAATGTTGTAGAATATGCAGCGTAGAGAATGCTGAACTAGATGGGCCAGTAGTCTGACTTGTTTGAAGGCAACTTCCTATGTCCCGAGTGTATCAATATTCCCTGAAAGGAATCAGTCTTTCACATTAGAGCAAGGTGGGCAAACTGCGGCCCTCCAGGACTCCAACACCCTTCAGCCCCACTCGGAACTGCTAACCACTAAGGATGATGGCAGCTGTGGTCGACCAACATCTGGAGGGCTAGTCAGTATACCTTAAGGAGCATCTCCACCCCCATCGTTCAGCCCAGACACTGAGGTCCAGCGCCAAGGGCCTCCTGGTGGTTCCCTCACTGCGAGAAGTGAGGTTGCAGGGAACCAGGCAGAGGGCCTTCTCAGCAGTGGCGCCTGCCCTGTGGAATGCCTTCCCACCAGATGTCAAAGAAATAAGCAACTATCTAACTTTCAGAAGACATCTGGGAAGTTTTGGGAAGTTTTAATGTTTGGTTCTATTTTTAAAATTTTGCTGGAAGCCACCCAGAGTGGCTGGGGAAACCCAGCCAGATGGGCAGGGTATAAATATATTATTATTATTATTATTATTATTATTATTATTATTACCCACCCTTGCTTTAGAGATCTTTGTTTTTCTCCCTGCACCTCGAACCACAGTAGAAGATTATTTGTTCCCCTGAAACGGCTTTCATCATTCACAGTATTCCTCTGCCTGTTTCAGCGTGGAAGTCTTTGCCTTTTAAACTTTCCACTTTTTTCTGTAGTTAGCAGGTTTTTAACCAGGTGTCAGGAGAAATTTGGAGTTGGTTACTGTTCTCAGCACCGTGCCTTTTGCTTTCCTTCCCCAGCAGCCTCTCTCTGTGAGTGGCTTCCTGTTTGTCTTAAGAGTTCACCTGCCTTTTCTCCTCTCTGTTCTCTGCTTCCCAGCAGTGGCTCTTTTATCTTCCTCCTTCACCCACACATACTTCTATTTTGGGTTGTTTTTTTTTAAAAGGAAAAGAAGGGGGGGGGGAACCTTCCCAGCCTAGAGAAGAATCGAAATGATAAGGAACAGTCAGAGAGAGTGTTTCTGATCTCATGTTTTTAAGTTCTCTAGTGACACTTTTTTCTCCGTTCTCTCGCCCTAAAGCGAGAGGGCACCTAATTACATCTTGATGTCTGCCAATATTATAGCAGAGGAATCCAATAATAAAAAAAGGAAGAAACAACATTCCTCTCAAACCAAGCCATGCATCAAGAGCACGTTGTACTGACACTGGATTGGATCTCTTTGTAAACCACTTTGAGGTTTGTTTGTTTGTTTTGCAATCAAGCGGTGTATAAATTGTGTGCAATAAAATAAATAATAATAAATTGGTTGATGGGAAGAGGGGAAAGGCCTTGTTGCAGATCTTTTGTTCTTTAATGTCAGGGCAACTGGATAGCTCAGTCGGTAGAGTATGAGGCTTGTAATCTCAGGGCTGTGGGTTTGAGCAAACAGATTAGTGTGATGCAAGGGGTTGGACCAGATGACCCTTGTAGTCCCTTCCAGCTCTAAAATCCTATGTTTCTAAGCTTTACACACTTGGGGCTTTGGCGCCACCCACTGCAGCTCTGGCTCCGCCCACCATTGGATCCACCCCATTGATAACTTTCCTTATGTGTCTATGGTTCTCCATTCTGCAATGTTTATGGAGATCAATTCATCGGCCCAGACCAAGATTTCAGAGTGCTTTGGGCTAAATGCAGACTAGTTTGCCTTGGGACATGCTACTAGCCTGGCAGGGGGCAAGGAGAATTCTGAAAAGAAGAATTTGATAGCTATATGGAAGGAAGGAGCTGTAAAATAACAACTATGCATCTGCTAACTGTAGTCTGAATTCAGAGTCTTCCTTTTAACCCTCCCAGGTCTCTGAAGACCACACACACCTGCTTTGAACAATGATGTATGTAACTGAAATGGGCACCTGTCCTCTTAGAAGAAATATGTAGAACATTTGGAGGTTTCTGGTAGAACAAATTGCTATCAGGATGAGATGAAGTAGAAGGGGTGAACCCATTCGGTTTCACACACATTCCACTATCATTTTGTTGGGTGGTGTGTAATATATTTTAAAGTACATTGCTCAGCATGGTTTGGTGGTAAGAATGTTGAATTGTGACCAAGGACACCCAGATTAAAATCCCTGCTCAGTTATGAAGCTCACTGGGTCACTCTAACCAAATTCAAAGCATTGTTGTGAGATATATATATATATATATATATATATATATATATATATATATATATGGTGTATTCTCCCATGAACTCCTTGGATGAAAAACAGGATTTAAGCACAATAAATTCTGAAAGCAAAAATGTGTTTTCACATTGTACATCCACACAATCTCTGTTCCAAATTCATTTTCATATGTAGCGCAGTCCTCATTTGAATGCAGAGAGGCTCTACTGTTGCTGGTTTGCAGAGAACTGGAAGGTCAGGTCATACTTTAATTTATATTTTATGTTGATTTTTTTAAAAAAATTAAGATTCATAAGGCTTATCATGTGCACCATGTTAACTTTGAAATGTTTTGTATTAAATTGGGCAGATTAGAAAGAGAATTTAATGAGAGCTCGATAAAGTTGCCCTTTTTTCCACATAGAAAACATGTTATAAAGCCTCGTAGCCCATCCAAGAGTTGTTAATTCAGGTCTCATCCATTCATGCAAACAGTGGCATGGCAGCCTTTGGAATACAGCCACTGTACATTTGAAGGTGCTCTAACAGCATGTTATCTCAATGTGTGTGGGGAGAAGCGGGCAGTGGCGAATGAAGCCGCTCGGGCGCCTGGGACGGTGTGCCGAGGGGCGGGGTGAACCACCCATAGGGGTGGGGTGCACCGCTGGGCCTCTGAGGAATCTACCTGCCTTCTTCCACTCAGCCACCCTACAGCTGAGGGGAGGCAACAGGTGGAATGTTTGGGGCAGTGCGGAGCCTGCAGGCTCTCAAGCCATTGCGTCACTCCCAGGAGAGACGTGTGGCTCGGGCATGCTGCAGGCCCCGCTGTGAGTGCCGCCTGGCATTTTGTCATACTCCCCCCCAGTGGTGACACCTGGGGCGGCCGCCCCTGCCACACACCCCTTCCTCAGCCCCTATAAGCGGCAGCATGCCAGCTTGACTTAAGGAAGCTCACAGGAATTATTCCATGTGCCTTTCTCCTCCCAGCAGCCCTCTGCAGCCTCCACCCACCTTGTTCAGGTGGATTCACCCTGCTATCTGATGTCACTTTTTTCTGGAGGGGGGTGTCCTTTCCAGAGAGGAGGAGAAGTCAGGAAATTTTTGTCCCAGGCACCTCTTGAAGCTAATTTATCTTCAGATCCAAGCCATAGAATACTGCATGGACTACTGCTTGGACTACTGCAACGCGCTCTATGTGGGGCTACCTTTGAAGGTGACCTGGAAACTACCATTAATCCAGAATGCGGCAGCTAGACTGGTGACTGAGAGCAGCCGCCGAGACATAACACCAGTCTTGAAAGACCTACACTGGCTCCCAGTACGTTTCCGAGCACGATTCAAAGCGTTGGTGCTGACCTTGAAAGCCCTAAATGGCCTTGGTCCGGTATATCTGAAGGAGCGTCTCCACCCCCATCGTCCTACCTGGACACTGAGATCCAGCGCCAAGGGCCTTCTGGTGGTTCCCTCACTGTGAGAAGCCAAGTTACAGGGAACCAGGCAGAAGGCCTTCTTGGGAGTGATGCCCGTCCTGTGGAATGCCCTCCCACCAGATGTCAAAGAGAACAACAACTACCAGACTTTTAGAAGACATCTGAAGGCAGCCCTGTTGAGGGAAGCTTTTAATGTTTGATGTATTACTGTATTTTAATATTTGGTTGGAGCCGCCCAGAGTGGCTGGGGAGGCCCGGCCAGATGGGCAGGGTATAAATAATAAATTATTATTATTATTATTAGTAGTAGTAGTAGTAGTAATAGTAATAGTCCCTGCATGCACAAAAAAGCAGAATTCCAGATTGCATGCAGAGAGAAAGCTCTCCATGTTTATGGTTGAAATTGTGTGGTCACTGTTTAGCATATGGCAGCCTGCCACTCAAATGATCCTGCTCCCACCCTGCAAGAGTTCAGATAACCAGCAAACAGTGCCTAGGTGGCAAGCTGCTTGTGTCTTATCCTGTTTGTTAGTGATTTTGACATGAATGCAAAGTGTCACAGGCAGATACTTGCTGCAACGTGTCAAGTTCTGGTGGAACTGTGTAAAATCCTTCATACAAAGACTTTTAACTGGATATATCAGTGAATGGTTGGCTCTCATGCAGCCCCACACTGTTTCTTGCACATCGGAGCTTAAACCTTTGTAGTTTCAGAAAAGAATAAAGAAGAGGAAAAAACAAGAAAGATCCAAAGGACTTATGGAGAATAGGAAGCAGAAAGTCCTAAAAGATTTCAGCAACTAGACATATATGCTATGGTAATATAAGACAGGCTAGATGAAAGGAGCAAACCAAAGGAGGTCAGTATTCAACCCAAATCTGCAAATGTCAGACCAAATTTCCTCAAATGATTTGTGCCTCTTATCTCAACTACTCATTGGCTATGAAGTCTGCCATTTCATAGTGCCAAGCTGCAGTACTAACCTTTCCACCAAAGTGGATTTAGCCTCCTAGCAACCAGAGTCATTCTGTAGAAGGAGGAAGGCTGATTAGAAAATTATTATTATATTTCCAGGCTCTAGGGACATGGCCAAGTGCCCAAGGCTAAATTCTCCCTTTGGTCCATTTAATGCACCTTCTTTAATGTCATGTTTTTAGGATGTCCACTAGTTGTAGCCAAGGGACTAAAATTGCCTGTGTGAGAGAAAAGAATTTTACTGCTGGCCAGTCAACTTTTCAACTTTAAGGTTGCAATCCTATACATACTTTACTTTGTACTATATCCTATAAAACTCAGTGAGACTAACTTCTGAATAGACACAACTAGGAATATGTTATGAGGCTGCAATTTTATGCACATCACTTACCTGCAGGTAAGCCCTATTTACTACAATTGAGCTTCCTCCTGAGTAAGCTTGCATAGAACTAGGGATGGATGGATCTATTAATTGTAGTGCCTCTCAGTTTCACATTTTTAAAACCTTGAATTCAGTTTGCATCTCTTTTCACATTTTTCTTGGGGGGGGGGGGGAAGGCACCAAAAGCCACATTCATTTTAATGCAGATTTCTCGTAATAGGTACATTTTGTGTGTGCAATTTTATCTCATATATGTATTTTTGCAAGCAATTTATCCAGATGTAATGTAGTTCTGTGCATTAGTTGTACTAATATTTTCACCTTTGTGAACACTTTTCAGTTTGTCAACTGCACCACAGAATTTGGGGAAGTGTGAATTCCAAAGAATAGGTGAATTTCATTTCTCTTATTAGTTCAGGATATGAAAATTAGGTAGGTTTGCATCAAAATGTGAACTAAGCAAACTTCTTGCCCATCTTTGCCTAGGACTGCACTATTAAACTGCAGCCCTAAACACATGTACTACTAAATCACATTGAATTTTATGGGACTTATTTGAAATAAATGCACATAGGTTTGTGCTGGTCAATAATTATTAACTTCACTGAGTTGCAGACAGATATGTACCTATAGCAAATCCCAAAGTTTCTGGAGTTAGGAATAATTCTGGGATCAAAAATTCAGAGGTTCTGCAACTTCAAAGGCATCAGCTCAATTAATCACTGTATGTCTCATGAATGGATTTTGTATTTCTTCATGTATTTCTTCCTACCTGAAGAAAGCTCTTTCAGGTGATCAATGAATGCAGGTGTGGGTGCTTTCCCCATCCTTGACCTAGAGGTATTAATTTTGTAAATTTGCATAGTTCTTCTGCACATACAGTTGTATGTATATAGGATTTCTCTGCTTGATGGTGAACCTTGCCTTTTTTTCTGGTGATCTCAGTCACAACTTCTGTTAGGCTCCAAAAGCAGTTTCTTTTGTTAATATTTATCCATGGCACTGTTCCACATCAAGTTTCTAGCAGCTATTTTAAAATATTGTTGTTGTGCACAGAAGCTTCCAGATGGGAGCAGGGATAGAAATATAACCGGGCTGAATATATCTGACCAAACTTGTCTCGGTTGCTGGCAGAGAAGTTGCTTTTGAGCCTGCAGTTCTGAGGAGTGGCACATTAAGATTCTAACATCTGTAAGTCTCTGAAATGTGACATAATTGTCTTTTTTAAAAAACCCCAAAATTAAGCAACATGAACAGGTGAACTACTAAGCGACACAGACTTATTTTTTGCAAACATCTTTTGTGACAAGAAACCTTGAAAATGCCTGGTAAGAATTAAGCAAATATTTGCAATGAAGAATGTTCTAAAAAATATCCAGAGAATGCAAGAAGCTATTCTTAGGTAAAACCTGGTATTTACCCCCACAAAATGTTTTAAGTATCCAGGGCAGCTGTCTACCAGCTCCATCTGGTACACAGGCTGAGACTCTACCTGCCCGCAGACT